GTTTCTTTTCATGGTATGGAGTTCCAGAGGACTGAAGAGTTCAATTTGACAGTTTGAAATTAACTAGTACTGCCCAACTCTTTTGGGAAAGCATTGAGGACCTTTTTTAGAGGCGTCATGCACCTCCCGTTGGAAGTTGGGAGGAAATAAAGCGTCGCCTTCAAGAGAAGTATTTAACCTACTCTTATAGGAGCAACTTGTTGGACCAGTGGAATATCCTCACACAAGGAAACCGTCCAGTGACTGACTATGTTACCCAATTTGATGAGCTTCAAATGCAATGCCACATTGTTGAGGATGAAGCTATGACTTTAAGTAGGTTCATACAGGGCCTGAGAGACGATCTTCAGCGTGAGCTTGTCCTGCGAGGTGTTACCACTCTCGATCACACTTATTCCTTGGTTCGAGATTACGAGTCAATTACTAAGACTCCGTATGGAAGGCGTAGTGATAACCATACATCCATCTCATCGGCACCACCCCCTACTGCCAAATCTCTTCTAGGACCTCCATCGTCTAACGCACTCCCTTCTTTAGACAATAAAGGTAAAGTTCCTGAAACTTCAAGAACTTCTTCTCGTTTGCAATGCTTCAATTGTAAGGGCTTCGGCCATATCTCCTCTAGATGTCGGAGTCGAGCCTTAGTTATTGACGAGCGTAAGGATGTCGTTGATGAAACTTTAGAAGACCAAGTCTATGAGCCTAACTTTGAAGAGTTTGACGATTTGGGTGATAATGAGGATTCCATCTTAGGTTGCCTTCGTGCCCTTCCTGTAGGTCTAGGTCCTGCTTCCCTGGTCCCCGACACCTCTCGGTTGAGTGTTGTACGTTGTATCTTTACCCAACTTAAGGATGTCGATGATTGGTACCGTCATGCTATTTTTCATACTTACATCAAGATCAACGATAAGGGTTGTAAGATTATTGTTGACAGTGAGAGTTGTATTAACGCGGTCTCTGTGACCACTGTGTCCCGTCTTAGGTTGAAATCAATCCCCGCACCCCAAATCGTACAATGTCTCTTGGGTTGACACTTCTTCTATAGTTGTGAAAGAGCGTTGTCTGGTGCCTATCCAATTCCTTGAGTATAAGAATCATATATGGTGTGACGTCATCCCTATGGATGTCGGACATGTCATTCTTGGTCGACCTTGGTTGTTCGATCTGGATGTAACTATCCATGGGCGATCAAATTCATGTTCCTTTATATTTAATGGGAAGAAGATTCACCTTAATCCTTTACCACCAAAATCTGTTGACTTACACCAAGCCAAAAAAATTGTCTAGAGGAAAGGATTACATGTAATTAGCCCTACAGAATTTGAACGAACAATCGTAAATGACTCAATCGTATTTGTTGTGATTGTTATGGAAGTCTCGTCCGATTCTCCACCAGCAACCCCTACTGAAGCCCATCACTCCTTCAGGAATTTAAGGATGTATTTCCTGACGACCTCCCTAATTTAGTGCCTCCCTTACGGGATATCCAACATGCTATAGATCTGGTTCCAAGTTCGTCTCTCCCAAATTTGCCTCACTCTAGAATGAATCCTGCTGAACATGCTGAGCTCCAAAGACAAGTGGGTGAACTCCTTCACAAAGGCTTCATCCGTGAAAGCTTAAGCCTTTATGCAGTTCCTGCCATTCTCACACCTAAGAAGGATGGTTCTTGGAAGATGAGTGTTGATAGTCGCGCTATCAATAAGATTACTGTTAAGTATCGTTTTCCCATCTCTCGACTTGATGATATACTAGATATGATGGCCGGTGCCACAATCTTTTTCAAAATCGATTTGAAGAGTGGGTATCATTAGATTCGGATCTGCCTAGGAGACGAGTGGAAAATTGCATTTAAAACGAAATATGGTCTAAACAAGTGGTTGGTAATGCCCTTTGGACTAACCAATGCTCCAAGTACTTTTATGAGGGTGATGACACAAGCCCTTCGGCCTTTCATGTGCATATTCATTGTTGTATACTTTGATGACATCTTCGTGTACAGCAAAACAACAGAACGACATCGAGATCATCTTACGCAAGTTTGCTCTACACTGCGTGCAACGAGCTTGTATGTCAATGTGAAGAAATGTTCTTTCTTCACGGATACAGTTGTGTTTCTCAGATTCGTTGTTTTCACTACGGGAGTATCTACTGATCCTGTGAAGATTCGCGCAATTGTTGAGTTGCTTGACCCCAAGAATATACATGATGTTAAGAGTTTTTATGGTTTAGCTACCTTTTATCGTCATTTCATCAAGGGGTTTAGTACGATCATGGCTCCTATCACAGAGTGTATGAAGAGAGGAGAATTTCACTGGACGCAGGAAGCGGCCAAGGCCTTTCAGTTAATCAAAAGGCGAATGACAGAGACTCCTGTCATGCGACTCCCAGATTTTTTCAAAGTTTTTGAGGTCAAATGTGATGCGTCGGGGGTAGGATTAGGTGGAGTCTTGAGTCAAGAACGCCACCCTATTGCTTATTTTAGTGAGAAATTACATGATGCCAAGCAACGGTACTCGACTTATGATAAGGAATTGTACGCAGTCGTACAAGCCTTGCGCTATTGGCATCATTACTTATTACCCCACGAATTTGTCCTCTTTTCGGACCATGAGGCCCTTCGTTTCCTTCATTCCCAGAGACGATTGAATTCTAGGCATGGCCGCTGGATCGAATATTTGCAAGCATATTCTTTTGTCTTAAAGCATAAAAAGGGTGTTTAAAACTGAGCTGCTGACGCTTTAAGCCATCGCATCTCCTTGTTGTCCATCATGAGTGTTAAGGTCATAGGGTTTGAAAGACTTAAGGAAGAGTACGAGTCATGTCTCGATTTTAGAGACATTTTTCTTGCTTTGCAAAATGGGGAGTTGGACACCACTGATGGTTTCCGTTTGGAAGAGGGCAATCTTTTTCAATCCAATAAGTTGTGCATCCCGAGGACTTCAATGCGAGACTTTATAGTGTGAGAAAGTCATGCTGGCGGGTTGGCTGGACACTTTGGGTGTGATAAGACCATAGAGGAGATTGAACGCCAATTCTATTGGCCCAATTTAAAGACAGACGTGGCCAAGATTGATGGCGCGTGCAACACCTGTCAGCATTCTAAGCAAAAGAGGCAGAACACAGGCCTCTACACGCCTCTTCCCGTTCCTAGTTGTCCTTGGCAAGACATTAGAATAGATTTCATTCTAGGGTTGCCACGTACTCCAAAAAAACACGACTCCATTTTCATTGTCATAGATCGCTTCTCGAAAATGGCACACTTTATTCCATGTAACAAGACTTCCGATACATCTAAGGTTGCTAAGTTATACTTTCATGAGATCGTCAAGCTGTATGGCCTCCCTAAGACCATTGTCTCGGATAGAGATATTCGTTTCACTAGCCATTTTTGACGAACCTTATGGAGTATGGTTGGCAATAAACTGAAATTCTGTACTGCATACCACCCAAAAACGGACGGTCAAACCGAAATTGTTAACTGCAGTCTTGGTAATCTATTAAGGTGTCTAGTCCAGGAAAATAGTAGGAATTCGGACTTAATTCTTCCTACTGCCCAACTTGTATATAACAGTTCAGTGAATCGGTCAATAGATATGAGTCCTTTTGAGGTAATTCATGGTTTTAAGCCTAGAAAGCCGTTAGACCTTCTTTCCATGTCTCCACATACTAGTGTGTCTGTGTCAGCTGAGTCTTTTGCACAATATCTACGTGATTTGCATATTGAGATCAATAAACATCTGGAAGCAAGTAATGCATTATATAAATTTCGAGCTGATTTGTACAAATGCCACGTTGAATTTAATGTTAGGGATTATGTTATGATTCGAATTAGACCAGAACGACGTCTATCTGGGCTTGCTTCCAAATTACAAGCTCATAGTGCTGGTCCTTTTAAAATTTTAAAGCGTGTTGGTCCGAATGCTTATGTCATTGACTTACCGTCACACTTTGGTTACCACCCTACCTTTAATGTTGAAGACTTAGTTGCTTACAAAGACAAATTTCACCCCGCTGATGATCATTTCACACCTCCAACTCTGGACCCTCAGCCTGAACATGTTATCCTTGTCCCAATTCCACCTGCTGCAGCACATAAAGATAAAATTGATGCTATTCTAGATGCACAAGCCATATTAACCAAGGTTGGAGACATTCAGCGCTTCCATGATCGTTGGGAGGGTCGTCCCGATTCTGATTGCACTTGGATCCCCAAAGAGACACTTCAACAGCTTGATCCTGATTTGTTGGAGCATTATAGAAGTCAACAAGATCTTTCCTTACTCGGATCACCACCTTTGCGTGTCTATAGACGTCAAAAGAAGTTTGCTCAGCCGCTCAGTTTGTGACCAGGAGATTGACAACAGCCTTTCGTGATCTATCTCCTTGACGGGGTCGAGTTTTTCTCCTACCCCGGGAGAGTTAATGCGGACATTATCCTGCTCATCGGGCCAGTTGTTGGGCCATATTGGGCCAATTGTTGGGCCGTTTTATTTTCTATTTATTTATTTTAGACTTTATGTCTCATTGAGCTTATGTATGCGTTTGGCCCAAACCCAAGTTTATTATTTTGTTATTTATATTATTGTAATTGGGATTGAAAGTTTAGTTTTTGATGAATGAAAATATTTTTGTGGGATGAGATCACATCTCTCTCCTCTCCCCCAGTTTCTTCTCTCCTCTCCTCTCTTCTTCTTCTCCTCCTCCTTCTTCTTGACTAATTCTACATCACATTTTTATCCCCCAACCATTTTTTTTTCCTTGGCGTTGAACTCCTCGACCTTTCATTTTTAGCCGTCACGTTGATAGGAAAAGAAATAAGTAAATTTAGTTAATTGCTTATTATACACTAACTTTATGTTTCTTATCTGGGTAAACAGTACTTATAAATGTCTCCAATAAATTATTAAGCTTCCATAAACTGTACAAAGCACAATTCCATGAAATATTTATAGCCACGCTCCCTCAGATTAATGACCTCAGTTAAACACGAACCAACATATAAAATGCTAGCATCATTTAAAGAAAGAAATGGAGTGAAATTTTACGTATAAGCTTAGACCATAAGACAAACACTACCAAGCACGAATACAAGCCGACTATTAGTCGAGCTTCCTCAGATTCTGAATAAGTTAAACATGAACTGACATATAAGGTTCTTGCATCATTTGGAGAAACAAAAATAGCCAGGATATTCAGGCAGTCAAACACCCAAGAATGCTTAGCTTGTTACTTTGAAGATGTGAGCTCTCTGATATTGTACTTGGCCAATTCCTTGTACTTCTCAACAATCCCAATCAAGCACATGGTCTGCAAGAGGAATAGTAATCAGTTGAGCATGTTTGGCTAAGCTTAAAAGCATTTCCAAGAAACTCCTTAAACACGACTCCTTAATGATGCTCCAAAAGACTCTTTAAATTAATATTTTAACTTAAGAGAGTTTGTTTGGAGAGCCAAACTTGCTCTCTATAATTAAACGTATTCCAAGTGTTTCAATTTTCAATGTATGGAAATAATAAAATATCCCACAGAAAAGCTAGTTAAAATAAAAGATAGAATAAAAATAATAAATATTTTATGGGAGAAGTAAAATTAAGTGTTAAATATAAAAAGCTTGTTGAAGTACTTCAAAATTTTAACTCTCTAAATTTATATATGTTTTCCAAATAATAGAATATGCTCTTTAAAAATAGAGTCACTGGAAGATACACTCATACGTTTACTTTTAAGAAAATAAATTTTAAAACATTTTTTTTGACTAGTTATAATCGGAATAAGTTACTAATTTTGACTAGTCAAATTTACAATCAATGCATGGAACTTTTTTACATGATGGGAAAATAGTAACGTTTCGAAACATGTTCAAAAGCAAAAAATACTTCAAAAAGTAACTTCACTGTTTTTAAGCTTTCAATAAACATGCTCCGGTACAGTGAGTACTTTTTTCAAAGGCACAATTCATTATTTATTTTATTAGTGCATTACTTGTATGCCAAAATTCAAAAGCATAGTAATTAGTCCGGATTCTTGAGAAGAGGCAACTAAAACAAATAAAAAGTATATACCATAAACGTTGTAGACATTGAAAAAAATAACAATTCAGTTCAGATTATGCAGAAATTCTTCTTACCTTAACAATTTGCACAACTATGCTCACATCTGGGTTGCTAAGATCAACTTTGTGGGCTGATGGAACGGATTTCGCAACTGCATCGATGATTTTTGTTCTGTCAACACCAGTATTTGCACGAGCATCATAGAGTACTGCGAACTGCAATAGAATATTTATTAATACCAGGTTTATTTCAAGTTTGTACTGGTTATAACTTATAACTGCATAAATGAGACCAAACAACATCAACATAGAACAAAATCAATGCCATTCGTTTTTAAAATTTTGTTATCTTCATGAATCTATCTATGGATTGGTTAAGACACCTTTACAAATACTAGAATACCCTTCTCTCTCAAAATCAAGAAGGATTTCATCTTATGAATCCGATATCTAATTAATGAGAAGCAGAAGACCACGTATATTTATGAAGTGTATAGTCGAAAAGCAATCTATCCATACATGTAAAAAAAAATCCCTCAAAAGTAGGGCAAAAGGAGAAAAGAGTGCTCTTAAATACATTAGCCCTTGTTTGAACCCCATTATTCCCATCAAAATATATTATTCAATAGTGATTTGACCACATTTCAACCACACATTCTTCATTAAAATAATATTACACGAAAATCCAATTTTTTTTATTTTTTTTTTAACCACACATTTCTCATCAATACACTATTCAAAAATGCACTTTTTTTCTTTGTTTGGTCAAGAATGGGGCTCAAACAAGGGCTTAATATAACTAATGGAAGTTGATTTGGTAAATTAACAAGTTGATTGAGTGAATTGAAACAAAAAAAGTTTGGTAACTAAAATGAAACCATCAGGTAGAAGTAGGATTTGTGTGCATCTTTATGTTTTTATGTCAAGAATATCATAATGGTAATGTATTTACCTTTAGCGGGTTCTGAGTTTCTACGGGAAAAAACTGTTCAATAACCGGTTTGATTGCTCTCCTGATTTCCTCATCAGATGCATAGCATGTTATTTCAATTGGAAGCACTCTTAGCAAAAATCTGGTTAAATCCATCATATTCTTAATCCACAGATGCCGAATGTTGGACTCTTTTAGTGTAATAAATAGTAAAAACGATTCTTTGAGAGGTTAATTTAGACAAAAAGAGCTGTTGAGAAATGAACCTTGACACGTGTTTCCTAGTTGAAGCCAGAGACGTCATCATGTGTTGGACAATATCTTTCGGGCTAGGATCTCCATCTCTTTTGCGCATTTGTACAAAGACAACACCATTACAACCTGAGTCAAGGTTGCTGAAGCGCCTCTGTTTCGAAGAGAACAGCAATAAGTTAGGCAGGACCAGGAGAAGACTACATCACCATATATGAAAATCTATTATAAGAAAAATTGTTTTATGAACTAAAATGCCCAATAAAGAACAAAAAGTTATATGCTTAGGATCATTGACTTTCTAGAAACAATAACCCAAAATCTTTGGGTACGAAAGAAATTGTTGTGTTTCTAGAAAAGATATGCAGAAAAGGTAAATTCCGGAGCATTGATATAAATAAACAATGAACAAGAAATGAATAGTTTCATGAGAAATGAGATAATAAAGGACGTGGCATGACATTAATTTGTAGTGAGTATGCGAAGGATCAAAATATGGCAATCTGAAAACTGTTTTTCAACTAACCTTGCTCCTATCTCCCAATTCTGCAAGCTCATCTTCAATAAGCCTATCAACAGACTTCTTTTCTATCTTATTAGATATGTCATTTCGACATTTAAATGCATCATTTTCTGTACATTGTTTCTTCGCCGATGGTTCAACAGCTTCAACTTCTTGGTCGTCAGTTTTCTCTTTATTTTCTTGTGCTTCCTTCTCACTCGATGTGTCATCCTCCCTTTGATTCCCCAACTCTTCTTTTATAGGATTTTCATTATTTACAACAATGCCTGTTGCAATAGCAGGTTTGTTATCTTCCTCCTTTGTCCGTACATTGCTTTCGTCCTCATCATGATCATCTTCTGAATCTTCATCATTGTCATCATCATCACTGCTCGAGGAATCAGAGTATGTAAATTTGGTTACTTTATTCAGGGGATTCATAGATAATTCTGCTCGTTCGATTGTTGTCTCTGTCCCACTTACAAGCTCTTCATAGAACTGTCCCAAAAAACAAACAAAATGTGTGACTTCACTTCATTCCAGCTCCCAACAAAGAAAATTACAAAAAACAAACTAAATGGTCTGAAGCTAAAAGATAAATAGATGGCATATGATAACAGCTGAAGTTAAAAGTAAAATAATTAAACACCAAAAGAGACTGCAGATTTTTATTTTTAATTTTTTGCTTATGAATTATCACTCTCAAATTCTCTCTTCCATTCTACTTCACAATTCAGTGTAAATGAATCTTAAAGTTACACAAACACAGCATATAGACTGCTATAAATTAAAAAATTAAAAACTCTACATATTCAATAAAGAGAAATTGACAAACAAAAAACAGACTCCACAATTAAATGTATTAACAAGTACAAAGAGGAATTACAATACCCAGATCCGTAATTAAAATATAAACGACCAAAGATTAAATCTTAACACCAAATGGAAACGAAAAATATATTTTCTCTATCTTTTTTCAAATGAAAAATTATACATACAGAGTCAATAACATTAATGGCTTCGTTTGAGGCTTGGCGTTCCCTTCCACCATCACACGTTATAAAGAACCCTTGCACTCCTGGTTGTAATGCGTATTTACCTTTTTTCACTGGTCTCTAAAATATTCAACAGAAATAGGGGGAACAAAATTAGCTTCACAAATTCATAGAAAAGAGAGCTTATTTACTATGGTTGAGCTTACATTGTGGGGAAGATATTGCCTCCTTTTCTTGTCATTGTTTGCCTTCGATTTGTTCCCAGTTGCCATTGAATTTGAATGGATTGACTGCAGAAAAAACAGTAAACAGTGGTTCTATCATCTACGAGGGGGTTTATGCCCACGGTTTATGAGATGGAACGTGGGTTGGATTGGTATTGGTTTTGGGCTCAAGCCCAAGATTTCGAGTCTCATTTCAATTTTGTCTATTTGAATGTGTGGTAATTACGCCACACTCCATTTTAAAAATTCAGTATTCTAAAATCAAGTTGAAAGTTTCATTATTCAAAAATTAGATGAAAAATTATTTTTAAATATTAATAATATTATGATAAAATTAAATTAATTTACACACCCCACTCCACTGCACCCCCTATCAATTCCTACACATTTGCACCCTCTAAACCCTAATTCATTTCACTGTCTCCTCTCTCTCTACCACCCACACTCTCTATACCTATGATGTCGTCAGTCTCTCTCTACCACCCACCCTTTAGACTTGCGATGCCACGTGATTGACAACGCTCATCTTTCAAGGACGTCGTGTAACCGCTACATACGATTGACGCAACGCTCGCCTTGCAACAGAGGATGCACACAGTCGCAAGGCAATGATCATGTACAGAACCACCGTTGCACTCGATCGTGGAACGCTGCTGCTGAATGATATGATGGATCTGAGGTGGTCATGGGGGTGGTGTCGACGAGTTTGAGGTTTTTTCGTGGTGTGGTGACAGAAGAGATGGTGGTTGTGATGTTTGTTATGCCTGCTTTTTGATTTTTGCTTCCATTTTTGTTTGTGGATTTCAGATTGTAAGGTAGTGGCGGTGTGGTGGCGAGGTGGTGCCAAATTTTTTATTTCTATTTTTGTCTGTGATTTTTCAAATTGTGAGGCGGTGTTGCGGGCAGCGTGTTGGTGCTGGATTTTTTCTTTCTGCTTTTGTTTGAAAGTTTTCAATTTGAAAGGCGGTGTTGGCTTGGCGTGGCGATGGCGGTAGTGTCAGTGGTGGTGGTAGTGTCGCAGTGCCAACTTCTTGGGTTCTGTTTCAAGGTTTCAGATTGTGATTTGGTGATTACAAGGCGATGAGGTGGTGGTTGTGATGTTGGCTGTGGTAGAGAGGTCGTGGGAGGTTGGGCAATTTTTTTTAAAAAAAATTTTGGGTGACAGTTTTTTTGGTGTTTGGGCGGCGATTATAGTTTTGCAAGGTCTGGTGGTGATAATGGTGATAGCGATGGTGGTTGTGGTAGTCGGGATGGTGGTTGTAGGTGGGATAAAGGTCATGATCCCAATCAACTAATTGACTCCTTTTTTTTTCTCCGAATCGTGGTTATCTTCTCATGCATTAAATTAATCTAAGTTAAAAATAACTATAACAAAGATGAGTTATGTAAATATATGGTTATGAAATTTGAGAATTATCATTTGCTCATTTGGACTTGAATAAGAAACCTGAGATCAAGTTTCATAGTTCTCACTTCACTACTATAATCTTCACGACTTGAAAATAATAATAATAATAATAATAATAATAATAATAATAATAATAATAATAATAATAATAATAATAATAACAATTCCAGAGTGGGGCCAAAATTTAAAGGCCAAAAAAATAAGATAAAAATTTTGGGCGTTGAAGCTCCGAGGAATCCATTGGAAAATGGGGCTTGCTCCATTCTAAAAGGCTAAACTACTAAAGTTGTTTTTTAAATATATTATTGTTGTTATTATCATCAAATATTAGTTACCTAATGATGTGTACAATTTCTGTGTAACTCGACCATCCATGACCTCAATGCTCAAGGCCATGATACCTCGAGCACTCTCCTATGGCTTGACTATCCTTAAGTTTATATGGTCGGGCTTGTCACTCTCTCCCCTGGGCCACAACATCATTGGGCTTGCATAAGTGAGCTAGAGCTTGGGTTTTCCCCTATCTCGAACTATAAAGATCGATCCTCCCCCCACACATTTTCTCAAGCACAAGGTCGGGCCTATGCCCCAACGATAGAGGTTGGGCTACAGGCTTAGGTTGGGCTTCGGGAACGTCAATCCCACTTTGGCTAGAACTTTTTATGACCTTTATCTTCATCTATATAACTTATCTATCCCAGTTTGACTCAAACTCAAACAAAACATTTTCATTATAACACAAACACTCTACATGACATGGATAGGGGTTACAGGTAGTTGAATTCTTTTACAACTCTACTGCTAACATCTATAAATACATGACCAAAGCTCATTGCTAAGGTACGTTTTACATAAAATTTCAACATACATTCTCATACAAATTTCCTGTCTGACTTAAGTATAGGAGGGGCGACGAAGACACACCTCGCTGCCTTTGTTTCAGGTACTGAAAGACTATGTTCATGCTCTTTCTTAGTCCTCGAGCTTGGGAGATCTACCAGGTACGATTTTTGGTAGCATCATTGGAACATCTTTGGGAACTGCTGTCAAAAGCCATGGTGAACACACAATCAGGTCTTCCCCCAACAAACTCATTCATCCCGGACCATCCTCCTCCCCCTGAAGATCATCCTGTCCCTTAGGAAGAATCATTAGAGATGCCAGTACCTCAGGATGTCGTTGTTACCGTCGGAGCATTCGAAGAGCTCCACCAACAAGTTGCTACATTAACCCAGTTGTTGAGCTAGAGGAATTCTCATCCATCACATACACCGACTCCTGAAGGTGGTTTTATGACAGATGCTCAAGCTCGGGCCCCACAGCCCATTCTTGACGATGGGGGGTTGGAAACTCGGGTGTACCACAAATGGCCTTGACCTCGGGGAAAGTGATGATAGAGTTCAGTAAACTCGCCAAGATCATTCAAGAGTGAATCACGGCAGGCCTAATGCAGAAAGCTAAGGGGGCGACAACCTTTACCCCTAGCACACTGTTCACTCTTGAGATATTATCATTCCCTTTACCGGACAGATTCAAATACCCCCACATAAAAGAATATGATGGAACTACTGACCCTATCAACCATCTCAATATCTATACCGACATCATGAACCTACAAGTTTCCCCAAACCAGGTGATGTGTAAGGCTTTTCCTCAAACATCGATCAATACGGCCAGGGATTGGTTCTCAACCTTAGAGCCCAATTCCATAGCCTCATTCTCGGATTTAGTCGACAAGTTCTCTACCTTCTTCGCCAGCAGTAAGTGCATCCGAAAAACAACAGCTTCCCTCATATAGCTTCGCCAAGGATAGAATGAGACACTCCGCAATTTCATGACAAGGTTTAACAAGGAAAGACTTCAAATCCCAGACCTTCATATCACAGCTGCAATCTCAGCTTTAACACATGCTATAAGTTGTGAAGCATTCAAGATGTCTCTATCAAAGACCTCTCCAATGTCAATAACCGACCTACTTACCTGAGCTGAAAAGTACATCAACATAGAAGAGAGTATGTTCCCAAGGAAATATGCCACACCATCAACTAAGCTAGAGCATAAAAGGTCGCATGAGCTTAATTTGCATCAAGATCATGCTCGGGGTAAGACAAGTCATGATAACCCTTTAGCAGTCTTTACTCGCCTGAATACAATGAGATCTAACATTTTGATGGAGAACGAAGATATGAAAGAGCTCAAATGGCCATCAAGAATGAAGTCCCCTCCTAAATCTCGAGACAGGAACAAATATTGTGAGTTTCATCGAGACCATGAGCACACGACTGAGGGCAACTTTACTCTAAAGAGAGAAATTGAAGCTTTCATCAAGAGGGAATTTTTGGGTGCCTATGTAAGCCACGACAAGCAACGAGGAATAATCAGAATAAGGACAAGGCCGTTGGAGATCGGGGAAATCAACAACCAATAGCTGGTACAATTAATATCATCATTGGAGGTACGCCTCGGGAGGAGACTCGAGTAATGAACCCAAACTATATGCTAGGCCATATTTAGCAGTTTCAAGTATAGGCCTTGATAGAATGGAAGACATAACTTTCGGACCAAGGAACTCAGAAGGAGTGTCATTTCATCATGACGATGCCTTGGTCATATCAGCAATCATCGCTAACTTTGAGGTAAAGAGAGTTCTTGTGGATAATGGAAGTGCCACCAATATATTGTCCCATGAGGTATTCCTTCAGATGGGTATATCAATCAAACAACTCAAGCAGGTTAGAGCCCTCCTTCAGGGGTTCGGCAGTGGAGTTGTCACATCGGAAGGCATTGCTGAATTACTTATAACTTTGGGATCAGAAGGAAAGTAGGAAACACGGGTTAAAACATTCCATGTAGTCCGAGCTCTAATGGCCTACAACGACATACTTGGAAGGCCACTGCTTAATGGGATAAAGGCTATTGTCTCAACTTTCCACTTGACCATGAAATTTCAAACACGTAATGGAGTAGGGGTAGTTCAAGGAAACCAAACGGTGGCTAGACAGTGCTATGTCTCTAGCATCCGAGAAATCAAAATCAATGGCATGCAGGTTTCAAAGATTAAGCTCGAGCTTGAACATTGTGGAAGAATGGTCTATGTGGAAAAATAAGTAGAGGTCGAGCTCAAGCCTAGAAGGCAGATTACCCTTGGAACGACGACAACCTAAAGCTCTATTGTGAGTAGGAGTTTCTGCTCCCAGGTATTTAGGCTAGTTTTTGTCCTTAGTTTTCTTTTATAGTTTGGGCCAGCACCCCCATAAGTTTAGTTTGGTAGTTGAGGTTTGTGTCCCCCTTAGGAAGTTTACTTTTTAGTTTGGGCTATTGTTCCTCTTTCATCCTCTTATGAATGGTTCATGGTTTGGAAAAGCTCAGGCTAAAATGCCCTCGAGCACTTACTTTATTATGATATAGAAATTTGCTTTTATACCACTATTTCCTCTTGAAAATAAACATTTAGCGTAAGACTGTGCTCCGAGCACGCAACTAAATCAACCCTAACATTTAGCGTAAGGTCGTGCCCCGAGCACGCAGCTAAATCAACCCTAACATTTAGCATAAGGTCGCCCCCATGCCTGCAGCTAAATCAACTCTAACATTTAGCGTAAAGCCGTGCCCCAAGCACGCAGTTAAATAAACTCTAACACTTTAGCATAAGGTCATGCCCCGTGCATGCAGCTAGATCAATTCTAGCATTTAGCATAAGGTCGTGCCCTGAGTATACAGCTAAAT